CCCGCCACACCTCCTTATTCTTACACCTTCAGCTCCAGCGGGAGGACCCTAAAACCGTGTCTCTTTGCTGCAGGTTCCTTCTGGCTCTACTATCCGGCTGACCACCAAGTCCTTCCGCCCCTTCGCGCCCCGGGTAAGCCTTCTCTCAGCCCTGGGCAGGTGCAGGCCAGGCCCACTAGCCTCCAGGGGTTTCTCTAAAACCTCGGTGCTACTCTCAGCTGACCAAGGCCAGCAGTGAAGCCCCCCAGCGGGGGCGGTGCTTCGTTCTGGAGGCTTGGGGGCTTCTCTCCAAAGCCCAAACGACAGACGCCGGAGCCCCATGTCTCGTGGGGCCACAGGTGGCCCGGTCTTTTACCGATGGTATCTGAGAATCCCAAAGAATGCCAACACGTCCTGCCAAATGCACCCTGATTAATAACATCATTAATAATAACATCATTATTAATAACATTAATAATTACAGCGGGCACGTGAGGGACCAGGCACCCTAACAGTAAATAAGAAATTTGTTTATAACCACACTAAATTCTCATAGCTCCACATTCAAAACACATAAAAGGTTCTAGAGTGGAAAATTTTCCCATCTGCTCCTGGCCCCGAACCCCCCCGTGCCCACCCCCAGTATATATCCTTCTGGGGATGTTCCGTGTGGATCCAAACAAATGCCGTGAGTCTTTTCCATTTTTTTACACAAACAGAAACGTACCACACACGTGATTTTATACCTTCCTTTTTTGCCTTACTGGCCTGGGAGATCATTCCGTCGAGATAGATAAGGAGCTTCCTCACTCTTGTTTCCATTGGGTATCCAGCCTGCCATCCGGTGGACTTCTGTAGCTTAACCCATCTCCCCTGAGGGACCCGGGGGTTGTTTGCACTCATGGTTACATCAGTGCTGCAGGGACTATCCTCGCAACTCTGTCATCGTGGGGCTAAACCTCACTGTGCGTGGCGTCTCATCTAACCCGACAGCAATCCACCTGTCCTCTCCCCCACCTTCCCAACCCCCCCGCAAGACACAGCTCAGATAGGCAGGAGTGTTGAACAGGCCTTGGAGAAGCCTTGCAGGTGGCTGAGGGGGTTATAATGGGAAAGTTTTTAAACTTAAGGTACTGCAGTGCCTGGGTCGCATCCTTCCATAAGGTGCCCCCCCATAGGCTCCTTCTCTCCCTTGAGCTCCAGAACCGCTTATCAGGCTACCAAGTTGTCAGATTTGGAGAGCCCTCGGTGGCTCCAACATCCTTTTAGCCCTAGAAAGAGGAGCAAACTCTTCCCCTCCCACTTCCTGCTTACATCAGCCTCGACAACTCAGCCCAGCTTCTCAGTAAAGCCTTTTACCTCCCCAACCTTCTAAATATCTCCCTTTTACTGTAGGATGCAGGTTTTATATTTGCATAACAAAAAAGGCTCACAGGGACTGTTGTTCTTTCCCCTAAAAAGGAACAAGTCTTGCCCCCCAATTAAATTCCAGTTAAACAGAAAACCGTGAGCACTGGTGAAACTGTGCCATCTAGTCTGGTCATATTTCAAAAACGGAGGGCAGGGGGGGCGGGGGTCTGGTCTCCGCGTGCACAGTTTCCCCGAGTGCAGGGAGGGCCCGAGACGCAATAGGTCTCTCACCTCACGCCCCAGGAGGGATGGGGCATGAGAAAATTGGCCCGACCTTTCTGGAGGACAGTTTGACAATACTTGTCAAGAGCTTGAAGAATATCCCTGCCCTTTGACTCAGCAATTCCACTTCTAGAAGCGTCTTCCACCCACCTCCCCAAAATAGCCAAAGGTACACACAGGGGTGATCGTTATCATGGCGAAACCTTGGAAACCACCTGCTTTTCACTGTGGTTAGATCAGTTACAGACCCACGCACAATGGACCCAGTACAGCCACAAGATACATGATGCAGACTCCAGATGTCTGATGACAGGAAAGATCTCCAGGTGACCCATTAAGAGAAAGAAGAACAGAGCATTATTTTGTGAAAATAAAATCAATCAAAAGGCATTCTCAGCTTTATCTGACTCCCTTTGGGGCGCCCTTGGCAAACTTGCATATTTCCTTCTCTTGGCATAATCTCCTCATTCTGTCCCCCCAGTTAGCCAGAATGTACCCCAACATGAACTTGGAGCTCCAGGGAACAATGGCCTCAGCCCCATTCCTGAACCTCAGCCCTGGGAATCTGTCCTTGACCCCCCAGATGGAGATTGAAGGCTTTGTGCTCCTGCCCAGCTCCGTCAGGGAGCCTGTGTTCAGGCTTGGTGTGGTAAGGTTCAAAGCCTTTGCAAATGCTGTTCCCTTTTTCTGCATGCTCTTCCCCCTACTCACCACCTGGTTAATTCCTTCAGATCTCAAATCTCACTTCTTCAGAGAGACCTTTCTTGATTACCCCTTACCCTTGACCCACCTTAGGCCCCCTGTCATTTTTTTTCCTTAAAACACCCTATTATTATAATTGCATAGCAATTATAAAGATACTTATATAGTTGTTGGCAGGTTTATTTGTTTAATGTATGTGTCTCCCACTGAGACTGGGCTATTGTTAGAAGGAAGGTGGAGGGGGTCTTTGACCTGTTTACTCTGCATCTATATCTGACCCCTGAAGATGACATTTCCCAGGCGCCCTTGAACCCTGGTTTCAGGCGAGGTCAGCCAATGGAATGTACCATCAAGAGGCTACAGGTGGGAGGAAGGAAGAAGCCAGAATATTTCTTCCTCTTTTGATTCTGGACAGAGACTCAGGCATTGACTGTTTCTCCTTGGCGGTGGCTTTCATAACCCCAATTCCTCCTTCGGTTCTTCTAGTCCTGGGGTAGAAGCAGCTTTCTGCCTTTGCTAGTCTCTGAGTCACCCCTCTAACTTTTTTTTTTGGCTTCTTGTCAATTGCATCACTTGCATAACCAATTCCCTATATTAAAGTCCCTCTGAGTTAAATATTGAGAGTGGTCTCTCCTTTCTCCTGTCCAAGAGAGAAGGGATTCTGAATCCTTTTGGGTTCCTGCCCACCGGATGGAGAACTTTGCTCTCTTGTTTTAGATCTGAAACTCAACCACACAGATTTCTGGAAGGGTAATTGCTTCTAGATGCTGTATCTGCAGTTTGATATTATTGTTACAATTATCAAATTTGTTGTTTAATGGATTGTACATTTAATATGTTGTATATATTGTAAACTAAAACAAAATTTTATCATTATTATTTTTTATTATTGTCACCACTAGGGCTGATTCTTAGCCCTGAGATAGCTAAAAGCGATCCCTTTAGAGATATCCAGGGACAGGCACCCTACACCTTCTCGCGGTAGTCTGTTCATAGTTTAAACGCGTTCATAGTCAGCAATTTCAAGTAAAAAATGTTCAAGTCCAAGTTCAAACATTTATCGAGTACCTGTGATGAGCCTTCTAGGAGCCTGCAGTCTAGTGGACAAGTTCCTGCTTTAACTTGCTCAGCTGTTTGTTTATGGGAAACAGTTGGTACTAATAGGTATCCTTCCCATAGGGGACAACCTTTCTCATATAAAAACCTGTTTTCTTCTACTGGAATTCCCAGACTACCAATGTGTCTGCCATGTTGACCTTCAACACCAGCAAGATCACTGGGGCCCTGAAGCCAGGAAAGTAAGTCAGCCTCCCGCCCACATGGGGACACTCAACTAGGCTTCGTCCATCTGGACCCTCTAGCTGATTCCCTGTAGCTGGGGATGGGACTGTGAGCAGAGCCTCCGCTCAACGTTGGGGCCCACGACTGTGGAAGGAAACTTAAATTTTACATGAGTTGTTGCCCCATGGGTCCTGCCTCCATAAACTTCCTTCCCACCTAATCCCCATTACTTCCAAATTTCTAAACAATTTTTGAAAAAAATTTTTTTTTTAAAAATGGGGCGCCTAGGGGCGCCTGGGTGGCGCAGTCGGTTAAGCGTCCGACTTCAGCCAGGTCACGATCTCGTGGTCCGGGAGTTCGAGCCCCGCGTCAGGCTCTGGGCTGATGGCTCAGAGCCTGGAGCCTGTTTCCGATTCTGTGTCTCCCTCTCTCTCTGCCCCTCCCCCGTTCATGCTCTGTCTCTCTCTGTCCCAAAAATAAAAATAAACGCTGAAAAAAAAAAAAA